GCCTTAGCCGCTTGAGCCACAGGCGCCGAGCCCCCAGCACCATTTTTTAAAGACACTACTCTTTCCTCACTTTATGTCTTTGCCACATTTGTCTAAAATCAGTTGGCTGTAGATAGGTTAACTTCTCTGTTCTTTATTCTGTTCCACTGGTCTATGTGTCTGTTCTTATACCAGCATCATGCTGTTTTAGTTAATATAGCTTGGAAGTATATTTTGAAGTCAAGTAGTGTGATGCCTCCAGTTTTGTTCATTTTGCGCAGGATTGCTTTGGCTATTTGGGATCTCTTGTGGTCTATACAAATTCTGGGGTTGTTTCTGTGAAAAATGTCATTGGTATTTTAGTAGGGATGGGATCGAATCCATAGACTGCTTTGGGAGGCTTGGTGCGGTGGCTCATGTCTGTAATCTCAGCACTTTTGGAAGTTGAGGCTGGTGAATCGCCTGAGCTCAGGAGTTTGAGACCAGCCTGAGCAAAAGTTGAGAATCTGTCTCTACTAAAATAGAGAAACTAGCTGAGTGTTATGGGGGCCCCCTGTAGTCCCAGCTACATGGAAGGCTGAGGCAAGGGGATTGCCTGAGCCCAAGTTTGAGGCTGGCTGTGAGCTAGGATGCCACCGCACTCTACCCAGGGCAACTAAGACTCTGTCTCAAAAAAAAAAAAAAAAAGATAACTTTGGGTAGTATGGTCATTTTAACCATATTAATTCTTCCAATCCATGAGCATGGATTCATTCGTGTCTTCTTTGATTTCTTTCATCAGTGCTGTGTAGTTTTCCTTGCAGAAGTCTTTTCGCTCCTTGTTTATGTTTTTCTTAGGTGTTTTCATAGCTATTATAAATGGTGTTTTTTGAATTTATTTTTATTTTATTTATTTATTTTTTTGAGACAGAGTCTTATTAGGTAGCCCTCAATAGAGTGCTGTGGCGTCAAAACTCACAGTAACCTCAAACTCTTGGGCTTAAGAGATTCTCTTGCCTCAGCCTCCCAAGTAGCTGGGACTACAGGCACCTGCCACAACACTGGCTCTTTCTTTGTTGTAGTTGTCGTTGTTTAGCAGCCCTGGTGTATGTGGCTGGTGCTCTAACCACTGAGCTACAGATGCCAAGCCTTTTAGTTTATTAGCATTGAAATGCTACTGATATTTGTATGTTGATTTCTGTATCTTACAACTTTACTGAATTTGTTTATCATTACTTACAGTATTTTAGCGGAGTTTTTAGGTTTTTTTTTTTTTGCATTTTTTGGCCAGAGCCGGGCTTGAACTTACCACCGCTGGTATATGGGGCCAGTGGCCAGAGTAGCCACAGTCACTGCCCCAGGTTTTTTGATATATAAGATCATGTCATCTCCAAAGAGAAACAATTTGACTGACTTCCTCTTTTCCAACTTGGATACCTTTTGTTTTTTTTCTCTTGTCTGACGGCTCTGGCAAGGACTTCTAGCATTATGCTGAATAAGAGTGGTGAGCTGGATGTTGTAAAGCATGCCTGTAGTCTCAGCTACTCAAGAGGCTAAGGAAGGAGGATTGCTTGAGTCCAGGAGTTCACAGTCAGCTTGGACAACATCGCAAGATTCTAGCTCTCCAAAAAAAAAAAAAAGGCAAGTAGTAAAGTGGCCATTCTTGATTTAAAGAAAAGGCTTTTGGCTTTTCCCCCATTCCGTATATTAGCTGTGGGTTTGTCATACATCATACATGGACTTTATTATGAAGAACATTCTTTCTATGCTTAATTTGAGAGTTTTCTTTTTCATCACAGGGATGTTGAACTTCATCAAATGCTTTTTCTGAGTCTACTGAGCTGATCATATGGCTTTTGCTCTTCATTTTGTTGATATGAAACAAGTATATCACATTTATTGATTTGCATATGTGAAACCAGCCCTGCATCCCTGGGATAAATCCCACTTGGTCAAGAAGAGCCAGATGGTTATTTTATTCAGGTTCCCTGAAGAGGAATCTCCTTCTTCCCCTGTGTGGTATGTGAGTGATGCTGCCAGTCTTTGAGCAGAGGATGGGGGGGGGGGGGCAGTCTCTTATTTGGTATGGAATAGGCCTCACTTCCACCTTCCTAGTCTAATTTCTTCCAAGTGCTGAAACTAGTTAACTCTGGTTGCCCATCTGAGGTCCAGGTGGGGGAGGGCCAGTGATATGGATGTGAAGGGTTAGGAGCTATCTAATTGCTTCTTAAACAGTTTTCCAACCAACTATCCTTTTAGGCTCACACCTCACTCCCACCGTCGGAGGTATATGGGCCTCCAATGCCAATCTGACTCAACTTTGCTTCTTGTTGACCTCCTCCCTTAGCAGATTAACAATTTCCTCAGGTTAGCTAAATATTTACCGTTCTCTCTGCTGTCCATTTCCAAGTTTTTGTAGATACTTCTCTCTCTTACAACATGTGGAAGCTTCTTACAAGCTTAAAGTAAAAGCATTGTACACTAGAGCTTCAATATCTAAAATCCCACCTCCTTCTGACAGTTAATCAATAGATTACTAAAACAAATTCCTCTTTACCTTGCATGACATCATCCATTGCAGCATAATCTGCAATTGGTTCATCGGCCTAGAAAACAAATGGAGACAATTCAAAAGACAATTCCCCAGGTGGGAATGGGAGTCTGAAGTTTGGCCCATGATTCAAGTATACAGTGTAGGGGCCAGGGGAGGGCAGCACTGTTTTCCCACTCCTAAACACACATTCATTCATTCATTTATTGAGACAAAATCTTGCCCTGTCACAAGGTCTGGAGTACAGCTGCAAGATCATAGCTTACTGAAGTCTCAAACTCCTGGGCTCATAGGTTCCTCCCTCCTTAGCCTCTGGAGTAGTTGGAATTATAGGTGTATACCACCACACTGGGTTAATAAAAAAAAAATTCTTTTTTTTAGAGACGGGACTCACTATGTTGCCCAGGCTGGTCTAGGACTCCTGGCACCAAGTGATCCTCTTGTTTTGGCCTCCCAACGTTCTGGCATTATAGACATGACCCATGGAGCCTGGCCATATGCACCTTTAGATATAGAAATGTTTAGATACCCCTGAGGTTACCAAACACTAATTTATCATTGTGGGTTAAGACACCAGTGGTGGCAGTGAGAGTTAGGTAGAAATAAAAAATTAGATTTTGAGCTTGATGTGGAGGCAGAAGCCTGTGATCCCAGCACTTTCAGAGGCCAAAGTGAGAGTCTCTGGAGGGCAGGAGTTCAAGAACAGCCTAGGTAATGTGAGACATTATCTCTCTAAAAACAAAATATACATTTAAAAAATTAGCTGGGCCAGGAGGTCCGTGTCTGTAGAACCAGCTACCCAGGAGGCTGAGGCAGGTGGATTACCTGAGCCTAGAAACTTGAGGCTGCAGGGAGCTGTGACTGTGCCACTGCACTCCAGTCTGTGAGACCTTTTCTTTAAATAACAAAACTAAAAATGTGAAGAATTATTCTACCACATTATGCAGTAGCGTTTGACACAGTGGGGATTCTTCTGGCCACATCCCAAGAAACACAAGAGGCAAAGGGAAGTAAGTAAGTCAGGCCCCTAGGGAGAGCAGAATTGGGCTAATGATGCTGGTTCAATGACTTTTTTCTTAATAACATCTCAGAAGCCCCTACTTTCTTAGAATGTCTTCCACATCTGCTAAATCCAAAGCCAATTTCTATCCCCTAGACAGAAATCCCATTAAACCACCTGAGTATTTTGACTATTGTGACAAAGCCTGGTGCTTTATGCTTGTTTAGTAGCTTAGTTGGCTGGTAAAGTATCCCCTTTTTTAGTTTTCAACCAAGAGGAAAAAAGGGGATACTTTAATAGCTGCCATACGGTTAAGTGATTTTGCTGATCTAGAAGTCAGGGAAAAGGTTGGGGAGGATGCTGAATCTAGATATATTATTTTAACAAAAATTATGAAAATGTCAGTGAAGTTAGCAGGTTTTCATAATTCTTGTTAAAAATAATAGAGCTAGATTTTAATGTGTAAAAGAAGTTAGTTACTATACTTGCTGATATTCATCCTTTATCTTTAGTCTTTTGGGGGGGCAGGTAGAGGGCAGCATTTTTGCATTAAGATGCAGACATCAGTATCGTTAATGTGTTTTAAGAACAAAATCTCCCTCTAGCCCAAAAGTGGAAAAAAGGAGGTATTGTGTGATAGGGAGAGGTTATGGGGGTGAGGATAGAGACTTTATGGCCTGAGACCAGGTTGCCAGCTGGCCCATCAGGACATCCAGTAGGGCTGCTTCTGGGAATGACAGGCAATCCTCAGTGCTCAGCTGGGCACAACCCAACATCACTCCTGTCCTCCTAATCTCAGGGGAATGAAAAAGTGATATACATCTGAAGAAGCCTGGTAGCCCTTATCATAGAAAATCAAACAGGAGAAGTCAGGTTTAAGGCTTAGCAGATTGTGCCCTGCCTTAACAGGGAATAGGAAAGAGGACAAAGTAATCTGACTCCAAAAAGGCTCAGAGAAAGCCTTCACCTCCTTAGGATACAGGCAATTGATGATGCCAGGCCATGCATCACTACAGCCTACTGTGACACCTAAGAATGAGACACAATGATGTCCTCATATCCCCTAAATCTCATGGGGCTCAGCCAGAGCTGGGTGATTCAGAGGGCAGCAAAAGCTAATGGCAGTTGCTTCTTTCCACACCCTGCTGAGGCCCCGAGGCATATTTCAACAACCACCTCTGCAGCTTGTAGGTGTGTTTCATTTCAGAACTAGAGTTCCTCAGCTAAGGAGCTGCTACTTACCTTTAGTAAAATGACAGATTCAGGAATAACGCCAAGGGTGCCAAGGGTGGCACAGTCATCACTTAAAATCTTCCCATCAATTGACAAATTCTGGTCAAAAGGAGCAACTGAAAATGCATGCATGATCTGTGCCAATATAAAAGAGACAGAGTCCGTAAAAAGCAAAACACTGAGACTTATACCCTATTTGAATACTACTTAAATCAATAATGAATGGATTCTAACAAACAACCATCAATCAAATAACCCTCAATATATTCCATAGTAAAAACCACATATACTAACAAACCAAAAAAAGCTACAAGATACAAAAACCACTACTGTTTGCAGGCAGCCTACTTGCTATTTTCCCACTAGGGATATCATCCTGATATATGGTAGAGAGTTAGAAAACAATGATACACAAAGAACCTTTGTTCTGTACCTTATCACCTCCCCAAGGGTTGGGATGTGAGGAACTCAAATGAGTGAGGTGGGACTGGGCTGACAGTTACTATGGTTGTGAGGCATAAGCAAGGTCATTGCTGTCGCCCCACCGTTCCCAGGCTCCACATCCTTTCATAAAAAGTCCAAATTCCTTCTTAAGATCATCTTTAAATAAACCAGCAACCTGGCTAGACTATTCTCCCTTCTCTGTTTTTATTCCTTTAGCAAATAGCCTGGACTACATACATAATTCAGCCCCTGGGAACGTCATATATTCTTAGACTTGAGTCTTGTCTCTAGGAACCAAATATGAACTCCTTAAGGGTAGGGAGCATATGCCCTACCCCAGTTCTGCCAAATGTTAAAAATTAAATACATTCCAAAATACTGGTATGCATAATACTTACATGTTTTTGTAAATTATTTCTGGATTCTAATTAGGTCTGGAGGGCAAGTTGTAATTGGGCTCAGACAGGCACAAAGAAGTACTTTCAATAATATTTTTCTAATTCTTAACTTGGAGGACAAGTTCAAGAGTATTTGCTTTATTATACTTTATTACACTTTATAATTTACTTACATAGTCACTGATGTATTCTATTACATGTATCTTATATTACATTAACATCCATGATATTATGCAAAAACCATTCTTATCTTTTCCTATACTCTACTTCTTGGATCTGAAGATAAAAGGTGTCTAACAAGTCAGGTGGGAACTAGCTGTGTGCATAATGGGCCTGCAAGCTTAATAAGCTGGGCCCAAGTGATTTTAACAATGGCATACAGATAAATAGGATTAAGGATAAGAGTGAGAATAACAACACTGACCTCCCTGTTGGGCCAGAATCTTATCTGGACTTCTCAAAAGCTATCAGCCTCCGGAAAACTAACCAGAGCATTGTGGTAAGCAATCAATACAAAGTGCTCTGGTGTCATCAATGGTCTTATTTCTGGTACGCAAGGAATACTAGCAGCATAGTTCCACCAAAGCCAGCTGAGCTCGCATAAACACCCAGCAGAGGCATCTAACCCCAGGTTAGTAGATGGAACCCAGTAACATGCAAGTAGAGTCATGGTAGAGTTTGAGATGCTAACTTAATGTGGGCAGGGTCACAGCTTCTTCCCAACTTCTCTAAATGCTAAGTGTTTCCGCACCACCCTCTATGACTAGACAAGTATCAAATACTTCCAGGCATGCATACCATCACTGAGGAGCTGATGCATATACTTTGTATTTTGAGCACAGACAAGGACATTTAAATGCATTCAAAAACACAGCATTTATTAAGAAGCTGCCATGTGTCAGGTACTGTGGTAAGTGCTGGAAATATTAAAGTGAATAACCCCATCTTGGAGGGGTTCACAGGAGGGCAAAACAAAGTCGTGAAGAGGGTGGCCGAAGGTCTGTGCAGGATCTAGGGAGCACAGGGTGAAGTGAGTGTTATGATGGAGGCCCAGACAGGTTTTGCGGACAAGGTACTATGAAAGACAGTAAATGTTTGTTTCAGAATGAGAAAACAGGTCAACCGGGACATGAAGGCCCATGGCACAGTAATTCGTAAACTGTAAGCACCAGGAGAATGCTTGAGTTGCAGCGTCCCTGATCTATGGAGCTAACAGTAACAACGAAAACCCTGTTGCGAAGGGGGATGGGCTTAAAGAAGAAAACGCGGGAGCAATAGCCTCAGCTGCCAGCCATTTAACCTCTGTGCCAAAATGTTCTCCTTTCTGAGGGAGGTAAATACCACCCACTGAAGACCTATCTTTGGGGAAATGAAATAATACAATTAACCACTGTGCATCTTCAGAGGAAGGAGATGAATAAATTGCACTTCATTAACTTTATGGCATCAAAGGTGGATGAATTCATAATTAGGCAAAGCAAGTTTCTTACGGTTTTGAGCAAACGTATGTGGTGGATAGTGTTAGCTGAGAAATGCAGTAACCTCAGAGGAAAGGCTCCACTAAACATTAAAAAAATGAATCACACGCTTAAAAAAACAAAACAACTCCCCCCAAAAAAACCCAAAAGAAAAACCCACCATCAATAACTGAGGATCACACACATGCACACCACAAACTTCAATGCTATCCAGGCTACCATGCAAACAGTCACCCTAGTTGGAGCTTTAAATGCTACCACCATTGAGCAGTGAGGGGAAAATTAGACTTCACTGCCCTTTCTTTCGATCTGTTTGGACCACAATGGTCCCTGCCACAGGAGTGGGAGAGAACCCTCTGAGAAGAGCACTTCTGGGGGTGACATGAATAGCTCCTGCCTTCTAGCAGCTCATTCATGCAAGCAACACACTCCCTGATGGACGGGTTACTTCTGCTGACTTCTGGTTAATTCTCCAAGAATAGCAGTCCATAATAAAAGCAGCACAGGCTTTAAAAATGTCTTTATCCACAGGGTCTCTTTTTGTAAGGTTTTGAATGTTCAAGGTTAACCCCGACACACAGAAAGCTGGTGATAGAAACAAGCTTTCTCCGATGTAAAAGGTACACTAACAAAACAAAGATATTATGCCAACATGTTTATTTTCAGAGCTGTGGGTTCAACCAAGGAAAATACTATTCTCAGGACAATCTGGAACACATAACACCCTCAAAGGAAGCCTGTACTTTTGCCTCAATTACAATGATAAATATCAGTAACAAGAAAAATGCATAACCAGTAAACTGCGCCACATAAAAGTAGCAAAGAAGGAAATTTGGGCAACTTTTTGGATATCTATCAGTGACTGAAACAGATTAAGGGCCAGATTTTTTCATGGACATCTTGAATTTATCAGCTCCTTTTGCCTAGGGTTTAAGATACACAATTTGAATGCTCACTCATAGTACTTTAGTACTGGAACCAAGAAATAACAACATCATGAAGCATTTTCATGATGCCTACCTTATAATCATGGAATGAACATGATCTAAAATGAACCTTAAAACAAATTTGGAAAATACCACTGTATACAGAAAGGTAAAGATAACGTGAAAATTCGGTCATATAGACTGAGATGCCACCAGAAACATGTGAAAAAAGAATTTCTGACTCCTACGGGAGAACAAGCAATCAAGTGGCTGCCCTTTATCCTCCCTTAAGTTTTACAGCTGAGCTGGATCATAGGCTCCAATACCTACTAAGCGGTCAAACAGAAACAGAGCACAATAAAGTGAGGGAACAATGATCCCGGAGCAACCTCAACACTCCATGTTTCCCACTACTGGAAAGCTACTCTGAGCCTGCGCAAGTTGTCAGAGTCTGAAAATCACTTTCGTCTTCACAGAAAAATTCTTGGCTATTTTCAAAACTTCAGGTTTCAGAAAGAAAACGCAGATATGTTTATAAATACAGGCGGAAAGCAGGAATCCCTGAAGGCCCTCTGAACTCCAGAGCAAACTTGAACAGATGTTATATTTTTCTCACCTGAATTTTCAATTCTTTTAATGTCTGATTAGCAGAAACAAGAAGTGCTTTCTCACCACGAACTTTCCTATGCCGCATACTTCGCCGAATAACTTGCTTTTGATAGGCTATGTAATTTTGATGGGATATCTTTTGCCGCTTTGTTCCTCCATTGCTCTGTAAAAAGGATCGGAAAAAAAGAAAGCGTTAAAATTATTTACAGCGTGACCCTGGCTCATAAAGTTCTTCAGGCAAACAACAGCTGTTTACTTATTGGTCCCTTAACAATTTCAGATTCAATGTAAACAATGAGCAGAAACTTACCAGGGTTTCTTAGCAGGCTCACGTATAATTGAAGAAAGAACAGGATGAACAATATACATCACTAACTGTATGTAAGCAGTTTAAATGTTCATTACAAGAAATATTTAAAATCAAAAGGATAAGTTTCGCTTAAAATCAGAAAACACAATAAATTGAAAAACTTCCAAGATTACTAAATTTAGCTCAAAATCAATGTGAATTTATATCTGTTTTAAACATTTTCTTCTCTTTTTGAGAGTGACATGGAAGCTAAGCATTGATATAAACTAAGAATTTAAAAATAAAAGATAGTAGGGTCAAAAAAATCAAACTTAAATTTAACTAAAACCCAGACTGTACCTCTTACTCTAATGATAAAATATATAGCTTTACCTATGAAATATTCTTGCAAAAAATGGTAAGTATGACTGTAATCAAATGTTTAGATCTGACTTTTTTTTTTTGAGACAGAGCCTCAAGCTGTCACCCTGGGTAGAGTGCTGTGGCATCACAGCTCACAGCAACCTCCAATTCCTGGGCTCAAGCGAGTCTCCTGCCTCAGCCTCCCAAGTAGCTGGGACCACAGGCGCCCGCCACAATGCCTGGCTATCTTTTGGTTGCAGCCATCATTGTTGTTTGGCAGGCCAGGCTGGATTCGAACCCGCCACCTTAGGTGTATGTGGCTGGCGCCTTAGCCACTTGAGCCACAGGCACCGAATCTAGACCTGACTTTTAATTTATAGCAACTAGAATATAGGGGATAGGTAAGTAAGTGAAAATGAGTAACATAAGGAGGTGGCAATCAATTGACTCCAGAGAGTGGGACAATTTAAAAGAAATCAAACTGGTCCAAGTTCAATGTTAAGGGGGGAAAGAAAGAAAGAGGGTGGGAAGGCAGGATAACTGCTGTAGATTGTAACAATCTAAAGTGATCCAAAACAATGCATACTTTAATTATATGCTGGTTTGAGAATAAAACTGTTTAAGACATATCTGAATATGGGTATCATATAACAGTAGGATATATTGTTACTTTTCTTATTTATGGCCACATTATTAGTATTATATACCACACTGTCTTTCAAGAGGTGAAATGTCATGATGGCCATAGTTTACCTAAAGGTGCAGCAAAAACGTACAGACATATATAAGGGTGCATAATACACACAGGAGTAGTCAGCTTGGTGCCTGTAGCAGAGTGGTTTGGATGCCAGCCACATACACCAGGGCTGGTGGGTTTGAACCCAGCCTGGGCCTGCTAAACAACAACAACAACAACAACAAAAAACAAAGAAACAAAAAAACGGGCATTGTGGTGGGCACCTGTAGTCCCAGCAATTCGGGAGGCTGAGGCAAGAGAGTCGCTTAAGCCCAAGAGTTTGAGGAGCTGTGATGCCACGGCACTCTACTGAGGGTGACATAGTGAGACTGTCTCAAAAATAAATAAATAAATAAAAATATATACATATATACACACACACACATGCCGTAGTAGTCCTAAAAAAATAAATAAATACAATAAAAAGCAAGGGCCAAACATCTTTCAATAACAAATCCCTCATCAAGAGATTAACAGTCGAGATTCTTCTGTTAACCAGGCCAAGCAACGAAAAAAACCCCAGGATTTTTAAGGAAATCTTTTTCTCTGGTATAATTAAATCTGGATGAGGTAACCTGAGGGCCCTGGTTCTGGTTTTCACAGTTGTCACTGAGTATCAGCTGTGCATAAGCAAAGCGGTTTAGGGGTCATTATGGACACAGATGCCACATAGTCATTACCCGAGGAGCTCACAGATTTACAAAGCACATGATCAGGACACACAGAACATTTGTTCAGGATGCTATCCACTAGGGCCAGGCACTGCACAAGGCTAAGTTCAGCTCTGGCCCTGAGTAGACACAGACACACACGTGACTCTAAGATTGCTAAGAACAAGTTAAATAAACATAGGGGTTCAAAAATAAAAACCCCAAACCCCCTCCAAGTTGACGAGACATTTTTCTCAGTTTTGACTGTTGAAAGAAAAGGTCAAATTGAACTTAAATTCTACAATTAGGAATAAGGAAAAGTATCTACAAAACACAACCAAAGAACAAAATGCTGAGCGTCAAGTAAGAAATATTTTTTAATAACTCTGATTTTAAATGGATCTAATGGCTTCTTCTAGAATTATTATTTTTTTAATCCGTAGAATTTAAATCCAACTTAACTGACAAAAACCAGCCTACTGGTTTCAGAAGGCTTTCAATTACCTAAGTGAGACTCGATACAGAGTACATTATTAACCTAAATTTTTACATAAAGTCAAAGGAACTGGGTTGATCTAGCTTAGAGAAAAGGGGAAAGGGGATTTTTTCATCTCCATTAAGGACAAGCAGAAACGCATCACATTTTTTTTAAACAGAGATTTAAAATAGCAATGATAGAAGCTATCTATGTACTGAGATTCTGTGATGCATTATAAGGGAAAGGGGTGTGGAAGGTGACACTGTAAAAAGGCTGGACATTTTTCAGGGACTATCTACTCGTTTCCAAAGAAGGAAGATTAGACTTGGGTTTTTTTGTGAGCCAAAAATATTTAAAACATTCTAGAGTATTATAATATCCAAACAAGGAGAAAGAAGATAGAAGAAAATTATAAAGTATAAAAAAATAATTACACCATAAAAAGCAGTGTTCCCCAACATTCTCTATCATGTTTATAAATGTGAAATCTATGTCATCCACAACTGAGGAAAGTGATTCCACATCCACTTTTAAGAAACTGCTGTGGTTATGACCACAATGAATAAAATCAGACATTCAACAAAGTTAGCCTTCCAAAATCTAAATCACTCAAAAACCTAGAGTTTTCTAAACAATTCTTAGGCTGAAAAGCAAAGCTTGAAATAATAGAAACTATGGACAGTAAGAACATACATATCAAGCCTAATAACAAACTAATTTACAAAGCTTACTAGGAAATAGAGAATAAATCAGCAACAACAGCAATAAAATATTTGAGAAAAGATGAAATTCCCCACTGATTATTCAACCATACTGCCAAGTGATAATAACTAAAACAGTATGGCAATGCCAGCCAAGCCGATGAACCAAGATGGGCACATGCACACATACATGTATTTTTTTTTTAAATCTAGTTTGTAGATAATATGGCTTGAAAGATAGGTTGTATGGGGAAGTGGAGACATGAAAACCAAAGAGTTGACACCAGGATAGAAGCCGGCAGAGTTATGTCTGCACACGCCTATCAGGACACCTACTATTTACTATTTGATTCAGTAATCTCAAAAACCTTCCAAAGAAAAACAAGACATACGCACGTAAGATTTTAATAAGGAAAATTACTTATTACAGGAAACTATCCCCTCAAAACTGAAAGCCTGCATTCCCAGAAAATATATAGATTTGGTTAGCACTAAAGAAAAGGACCCACCAATGTTGACCAACTGAAACAAAAGGGTGGCTGATTACTATCAGTAGATGGTAAATACAATTAACATGGTTTTGTTCCTTCATAGTATTTTATTTATTTATCTATTTATTTTTTTGAGACAGAGTCTCACTCAGTCGTCCTGGGAAGAATGCCATGATGTCATAACTTATAGCAACTTCAAACTCTTGGGATCAAGCCATCCTCCTGCCTCAACCTCCCCAGTAGCTAGAACTACAGGCATCTACCACAACACCTGGCTGGTTTTTCTATTTTTAGTAGAGATGGGGTCTCACTCTTTTGCAGGCTGGTCTTGAACTCCTGAGCTCATCAGGCAATCCACCCGCCTCAGGCTCCTAGAGTGCGAGGATTATAGGCATGAGCCACTACATTTTAAAGTTATCATTTTATGAGCTCCAACAAGCTGTGGGAAACACCTGCTGACACACACAGCCCTTTATACTTGTTGGGAAACTAAGTACAGTTCATTTCAGGGAGACCAAGATTCAAGTCAAGACAGCTTTTCAGACTTTCCTAAACAATGCTGAAAATGAAGTAACAATATCAGTGGGTATAAACACACCAGCAAGCCAGATGGCTCTGCTGTATAACATGTGGCCATTATAAAACCCATCCTTTCAGGGAGAATACTAACCATAACTGACTACCCTATTTTAGCAGTAAAAAAAGAAAACAAATATCCATTACAAATAAAACATTAAGTAGAGTTGAAATTCCGTGAAATTTAAAATAGCTACAGAGTATCCTAGAACATAGTCTTCTTTTTTTTTTGAGATGGAGCCTCAAGCTATCCCCCTGGGTAGAGTGCCATGGCATCACACTCACAGCAACCTCCAACTCCTGGGCTCAAGCGAGTCTCCTGCCTCCGCCTCCCAAGTAGCTGGGACTATAGGCGCCCGCCACAACGCCTGGCCATTTTTTGGTTGCAGCCATCATTGTTGTTTGGCGGGCCCAGGCTGGGGATTCGAACCTGCCACCTTAGGTGTATGTGGCTGGCGCCTTAGCCACTTGAGCCACAGGCGCTGAGCCGAACATAGTCTTCTTTATGAGAAGTGGAAACTTAAATCTATACCATGTATTAACCAAACACATTCTCACATCATTTCCTGTTCCTGGAAGACAATTTTCTTCAGCATTACTAAAAACATGGCAGACTATAATTAAGCAACCAAACAAGAAGCATATAACAGTCAATTGTCATAAGAATTGTAAGTTTGTTACAATGGAAGTAGCAGCGGATCTGGTTATTTAACACCTTAATTAAAGACACAAAAATTTCTCCTAAATAGTCCTTTTTCAGGGTTATTGCTTACTTTGTATGTAATGAGGAAATCTGAGTTAAATACTTTTTTCCATTCTTAGACTCCATGATTAAGCAACAACCTAAGGGTGTTAGTCTTCTTTTCCAGCTAACCATTTAATTGATACATTGTATTTCAGACTTTCTTATTTAATAGCAAGAAAGGCGTTAATTTTGAAACTCCATGGCTTTTCAGGAGAAAGCAGGACAGCTGTGCATAGCATGCCACCCAAACTAAAGAAAAAGAAAAGTAAAATGAGGAAGGAAGCTGTGAACCAATATCCCACGCAGAGTACAGGGAGATGCTCAAGGGCTTGGAGTGACTGCTGTTTCAGGACAGCAAAAAGTGTAATGGTAAAAAGCAGTTTCAACACGTACTTGATTAAAATCTGGATCTTTTTCTCCATCTGGTTTAGCTTCTTCCTTGTCCTCCTCTGTTTCAGAACTACTCACATTAAGCTCCGGAGCGGAATCCTTCATCACCTGAATGCCCCAGGACAACAGAGAGAAGTAGGTCAGCCCCTAGGAAGGCATACTATGGACGGTGTGGGGCCTTTGACCGGCAACCTCTACCAAGAGGAGGGACACCTTTATCATGGTGGGATTATAGTCTAGAGAGTGGATCAAGAATCAAGAACTCTCAGTTTTCTATTCTTTTTAAATATGTTCGTCTTATGACTTATTTTTGTAGCATTTAATATGTTCACCATACGTTTAACAGGTCTCTGCAGAGGAGTTATTATTATCAGGCTCGTATGATGGTGCTATTCTGCTCCGTTGTTCAAAGTTCAAAGGTGCTCAACACTTTTTTGAGTACACTGATAACACTTCTCAAGTTCTCAAAATGTTTAGGTGGAAAGAGTCACAATGCTCTTTAGAAAATGAAGGGCACTATGAAATACTGCTATTAAATGAAAAATAAATGATGAAAATTCAGTTAAATTGGATACTGCTTTACACTAGATATCAATATATGCATGTACTAAAAGGTACAAAAGAATTAAGAAAATTCTAGGGGAAAATGTGAGACATTTATACCCATCAACATCATTTTCTCAGCAAATTAGGAAACGAGGGCCTTAGCTCAGCTTGTAAAGCACAACTCTAGACCTCTAAAGAATAATCTGCAAGTAACCATCCTGAAACAGTGTTGTCTGGTAACTTGCATCAAATACCATGTATTCCACTTTGTCTTTAATCCCAAAAACCCTGGAATCAAATTAATGAGATGAACAGAGATCTGGGTCAGGATCTATCTACCCAAGAGCTACCCCTGATATACTAAAAATGGTCTGAAATCCAATCCACAGCCAGTTTTAACACTCTGCTTCCCAAACACATCCCCTGTGTCTATTTCACCAACCCCTTGCGATCAATGCCAGAAGCTCTTCTAAGCCAGCTTTTCTTATTCCTGTTATGCCCTTGTCAATCCCAAACACCATGGCCAGAGTAATTTTTTTAAGTCACAAATCAGATGATCATATCATGATCTTGCTTGAAACTCTCCAGTGGCTTACATCTACATTTAGAATTAAATCCCAAACCCATGGTATGATGTAAAAATCATGGAACATGGTTCCTCCTTCCATATCACTATCCCTTCTTGGAATAAACCTCTTTCTAGACCACCATTAGCCATGATGGTAGCTACAAGCCACATGTAGTATTTAAATTTATATGAATTAAACTAAAGACTCGGCTCCATAGTCATGCTAGTCACATGTCATATACTCCACAGCCACAGTGGCTAGTGGCTACTGCAGTGCAGCTCAGACACAGACCTATCATCACACAAAGTGCCACTGGACAACACCATTCTGGGTACAATGATTGTCGCTCTGTAGCTTAAGTGCATTAGGCTTACCCCTTTGGCTCTTCTCAGGCTGGAAACACGACAGTGAGGGCTTAGGAGCAAACAGCTTCTCGGAGGCACTTTTCTGTCTACTCTCTGTCTAACACTGTAGCCTCCATTTCCATCAGTCTCTCTCACTGTACCCTGCTAAATTTCCTTCAAAACTCTCACTCATTTTATGAAGTTATGAGTTTACTCTTGGTCTTCCTCCCTAGCTGCAGATAATCTTGAGAGAAGGCATCTTCTGTCTTTATCACTATACCCCCAACATTAAGACCATTCCTGCCACAAGGCTGACATTCAATAAATACCTATTATGTCAAATTTGTAGCTAACTTCATATATAATCACATAACTAAATTTTCTTTTCTTTCCTTTTTGTTTGTTTGGTTTCTTTTTTTGAGACAGAGTCTTGCTCTGTTTGCCCTGCTGACAGTGCAGTGGCAGACTGTAGCTCACTGTAAGTGCAAACTCCTGGGCTCACGCGATCCTCCTGCCTCAGCCTCCCAAGTAGCTGGGACTACAAGGCGCAGACTACCATTCCTGTCTAATTTTTCTATTTTTTGTAGGGCCAAGGGCTTCCTCTGGCTCAGGCTGGTCCTGAACTCCTGACCTCAAGCAATCTTCTTGTCACTGTGCTAGGATTATAGGCGTGAGCCACCATGCTCAGTCTTCATTTTCCATTCTTATCCAATTTCAATTCTGATGTCAAACTACTCTGAGGAAACAAAAATGCAGTCCAAAGCAGACCTTAGTAAAAATACAATAGCAAGTCAAACAGCAAGCCCGATCATTACTAGGCATGGCCACAAGAGGGACTAGTACCTTTTTATTATCCACGACCTTATGGACATAGATGGTAGCTTGAGTGTATTCACGTAGGTCCCTCTGCTGCTGACACAATAAGCCTTCTCTACATTCTGGACAGAGTTCTAAAAAAGGAAAAGAGGCAGCTGAGGAATTACTGTTAAAAAAAACAAAGATCTAAAAATATATATCAAAGTTAGTAATGAATATTCATTAAGCTTTTCTGGACTACCACATGATCTTTAATTTCAAGCAGAAAATACAATATTGATATACCTTTCCTCTTAAAATGTTAATTTTTAACCAGAAAAACCAGGAGCAATATGAAAACTTACTAGGCTCAGAAATATACTGTGCTTCTGAGGGGTTTACATCTTCCGCTTCAATTCTTGTGATTTTAATGACATGATCCACAACGAAAAGCTTTTGCATCATTTGCCACTCACTGGGCCATATGAGAGCTATACTGTGCAAAAAAAACCCACAACATGCCTTAAGACACATAGAAAACTAAGATAATCCATTAGTTCCCTAAACCAAAATCAACACCAATATTAAAGGAAAAGGATTTATTATCATCAACAAGAAATAGTCTTTCACTACAATGGAAAGTCACAACCGCAGTAAAACTAATTGGATTGGAGTCACGTGCATTAAAACATAATATTCATACAGAAAGTTTTAAATAGGTAAGATGCTGCTATGTACATGTATTTTTTTCTTTGTAATTTTTTTTTCCCATTTTGCTCTCTTGGCAGTATCACGCCTATTATCTCTTTTAAAGGACACTTCCTGAGACAGATAACCTTCAAATACAGACTGTGGTTACCACATGAGGAAGGGAGGGAGAGAGAGAAAAGTATAAATGGAAGGAAGGATAGCTATGGAGGGCCCTTTAATGATATTTGAAGGGTTTAAACGTTTTAGGCTGACTGGCAATACACGTTTATTATTGTAGGTTATTTCCCTGGATGTCTGGCATTTACAATAACGAGAGGGAGAAAAGGAGGGGGAAGAAAAGGGGGGTGGGAGGGATTAAGAGAGAGACAGAGAAAGCAGAAGAAAACACGTATTAAGTCAGAGCTCCCTTAAAGTTAAAGTAGGGAAATATAATTAATAAACTCCCTAAGGAGATTAATTGCAAGGAAATTTTTACTTAGGTGTTTATATTTCCTTTTCTTGGTTTTCTTTCTTTCTTTTTTTTAATTGAATGGTAACTCTGTACATTAATGCACTTCTGGGGTACAGTGTGGGGTTTTCACACACAATCCGAAACACTTCCATCAAACTGGTTAACATAGCCTTCATGTCATTTTCGTAGTTATTGTTTTAAAACGTTCACATTCTACTCTTAGAGAGATTCACTTGTACCCTTGTAAGATGAACCTCAGAAGTGATCCGCTTTTCTTGGTTTCCTATCAAAGTTGAAAGCATTCTACCTTTTCTCATACAGTTATTTAAAAATTATTTTACAAGATAAAATGGCAACATCAAGGGTGAAATTCACAGATCAGCCCTTTTAGAAGCACTTGAAGAAAAGCATAAAATTTTGGTTTTAAGACCCTTGAATCAATTTCAGATGACCCAGAGCATGCAGCTTTGCTCTGGTGCCATGCTCCCATCTTATTCCTTCCTGTGTTTTATGAAGCCTGGGAGCTGGAGAAAAAGTAAAATAAAAACTACAACCACAAACATGGAGATTATGTGATTGTGGAAGAGGTCACAGTACTGGTTACCAGCCTGGGAGAAGAAAGAATGGCTTTGTCATCTCTGGGAGCGAAAAGGAAGGAGTATAAAGAACAAAATGGCTCTAGGCAGCCTCTTGCCTTTTCTGAGTAGCCTACTGTTCAAAATAAAAAAACAAAAAAAAAAAAAACAAAAGAAAACCAAGTGTTCACTCTAGTAAAGCATACAAAAGGAAAAAAAAAACACACAATTCAGCAAAGAACTAGATTCTAAAAATAGGCTATGTATCTCAGATGAGAAGGTTCTGAAACATACTTTTTTTTAATCATCAGAAACAGAGAAATCACATGAAGAACCGAAACTCACAGTTTAGAATCTTCTTTGGTCATGGAAGCAAATGTAAACATGAGTCCCCCGTGGGGACACAGAAGAGCGCTATTTCCCACTGATGACACAGGACTACATCTTGCAGGCTTTCTACACAAATGAGACACGGACAGTAAATATACTTCATTGTTCCAAGATGAAAATGAAGGCTTAACATAATTATTTCAAAATGAGAGACAGATTTTAAAAGATATTAGTAATGATATGTTTCTTAGGATTATTCATTTAACGTAACAGAAAAGAAAGCTTGCAGAGTATACTAGTAAAGTAACCATAGAGGGCAACACAAACAGAAATCATGAATTCTTAAAGGACAGTAGAGTCAATCCAAAGAAGACATAGCTGGGAGCAATGGCCTATAATCCAGCACTTTGGGAGGCTGCATTGTGGTGGGTGCCTGTGGTCCCAGCTACTCAGGAGGCTGAGGCAAGAGGATCACCTGAGCCCATGAGTTTCAGGTTGCTGTGAGCTATGATGCCATGGCACTCTACCAAGGGTGACAAAGTGAGACTCTGTGTCAAAAAAAAAAAAAGAAAAGAAAAGGATATAGAAAATTTTTGGTTTCTACCTAACAAACTTCCGCCACTCTTCTACAAAGAACTGCGACACAATGTAGAGGACATCCGTATCCTAGAATAAAATCACAGAAAGTATGTGTCAAATCATCACTTTCGGAACACAAGCTCTGTATGATAAATATACTGTGGCTTTCCTAATTCAAGTGTTATAAATATAGCCCTACCAAAAAATAGAAGGCTGGAGGAAATCCCCCTGTTTAGATAACTAAACAAATGAGAATGAGAGAAATTCTGGGTTGTTCTAAAACAGCTTATTGGGAACTTGGCAAGGGCCTTAGAAAGGAAAGATGAATTCTTTCCTTTGTGGGAATCATTATACCTCTGGCCAGTTACTGAGACATGGTCTGTTTTTATCCTGGAACAAATTCGGAAGAGAAGTTTTTTGCTCGTTCGCAATCATCTTATGTAAGGCTTCGTTTTCTTCCCCTTCTCTTTCTAAAATCTGAAAGAAAATGAAGCAATCAACTGTCTCCTGCTGACAGCACATGGCTTGCCTCCTCCCTACACCCCCATCAAAAGTACAAATGTTAATTCCCCTGGGAAGTCAATCCGGGGAGGTGGTGTGCCATTTCCACAGACGTCAGGAGCGTGTTCAGTACCTTGCACTGTGAACAGCATTCTTTGTAACTTGGAAACTCAGGAGCCTTTGGAAAGTACTGCCGCAGTTTGCTCCAAGCCTCCTTAGAAACAAGCCTTCTTTCATTTTCAGATATGCATAACTCGCCTGAGTTTAAAAAAAAAAAAAATTTAAAAAATGAGAGGAAAAAAGTTAAGTATCTATGGCATTTCCTATTTCTTAAAGTTAAGAGAAACTCTTTTCCTTCTTTGCTAAAGAGTTTTCAAAAATCTCTAAATTTTCTTTCTCTCGGCCAGGAAAGGAGTAGGAACCTGGGATCTCCATGCTGTGGCCGGGGCTATTTAACAGCATTCCATCCAGTCCCATATGCAAACCTCACAATCTCCTGCAGACTTTATTGTCTCCCACTTGATTGTTACTGTTATCATCCTGCATTAAAATATTTTCAAGGTTGTGTCTGTCCAACACTCACAGGTCCATTCTCTTAAGCTACCAATTCAAATTTAAGTAATAAGGTAAACTCCCAGGGTACCCACAGCTCAGTGGTTAGGGCACCAGCCACAGGCACCAGGGCTGGTGGGTTAGAACCTGGCCCGGGCCTGCTAAAAAAAAAAAAAAAAAAAAAAAGAATAATAAAATAAAATGAAATAAAAGTAAACTCCTGTTCAATCTGGAAGCCATCTCTATCTAGTCAAGTTCTAAAAGTTGTTTACTATTTGAGATTTGTTCTAAAGATCCCCTTAGATCTTCAAAAGTCCAAGAAGACAACAAAGATAGTATCAGTCCCCATCACACACCCTCTTCTCTGAAGACCACAGACACCCCCTCCAACCTCCGCGGCCCCTCCACAGTAAACTACTGTCCTTCCTTATCCACTTGTGGGCCTCTCTCTCCTGGCTCTACTTGTGGTTATACTTTCCATTTCTATTGTTTCGGCTGTTCCCAAATGATCAACTGGCGAGCTGCGCTGCTCTACCTATCCTGGTCATGCACTACAGAAATATTTTTTAGTTTCCAAAGCCACATGTTTGTTTTTGTGCCTGTTGACACAACGTACCTACAGATTAAGAATAATAAGGCCAGCCGGGCAAGGCGGCTCACATCTCTAATCCTAGCACTCTTTGGGAGGCAGAGGAATGTGGACTGCTTGAGCAAGAGCAAGACACCATCATACCAAAAACAGAAAAACTAGCAGGGCATGGTGGCAAGTGCCTGTGGTCCCAGCTACTCAGGGAGCTAAGGCAAGATGATCACTTGAGCGTAAGAGTTTGAGGTTGCTGTGAGCTATGATAACAACGTCAGGGCACTTTACCCAGAGCAATAGAGTGAGACTGTCTCAAGGGGGGGGAGGGAGAGGTAATAAAGCCAGGGGCTTACTAAATATGTAATACATACTATACTAGAATACAGAATAATAAACCTATTGGAGAGATGAGTATGTCCAGAGTCATCACAGCTGGTGAATAACGAAGCTAGAATGTAAAACCAGGTCTATCTCGTTCATTTCTAGTACCTCAAAATGCATCTTCTTAACTTCCTAACCCTCACCTCTTACTAAACTTTGAATAGTATCAATAAAAGATTATGCTTTAACAAACTTAGAGCAATTAGGTCAAAATGTAAAATTCTGCTTTCTTTCTGAGAAAGCTTTTGATTTGAATTCTCTCAGGCTAACAAAAACATATTCTAACATGCCCACCCTCTGACACAACCAGCGAATTTATTTTTACAAGAAGAAAGGAAAAGGTTAATTGGATCATCAAACCCTAATTTAGTGCAACCTTATGGTGAAATATAACACAACCATAAAAATGATTAAGGTAGATTTCCATGACCTGATTTAGAAAGAACTCTAAGGCAATTATAATTTTTAAATAGTTTCCTTTGTCCTTTTCCTAAAAAAAGGATTCTTCCTTTGTGTGTATGGTACCTGGTACAGAAAAGGAGAATAAAAAAAAATAATAATACACACACACCTTAACATGTACTGTTGCAGACGATTCTGTAGAAACCACTAATGCAATGCCTCACGGTGATGCAGGGGTACTTTTAGGTAGTAACTGGCTTTTACATAAGCTGTGAATTGCTCATATGATTAGAAAAGAAAACCCAGTCGGGCATGGTGGCTCACACCTACAATCCTAGCTCTTTGGAGGATCGCTTGAGGTCAAAAATTCAAGACCAGCCTGAGCAAGAGCAAGACCTCCATATCTACAAACAATGGAAAAATTAGCTGAGTGTGGTGGTACAAACCTGAGCCCCTAGCTACTTAGGAGACTGGAGCAGGAGGATCACTTGTGCCCTGGAATTAGACATTCCAGTGAGCTATGATCATGCCACTGCACTCTAGGCGGGGTAACAGAGTGGGGGAAAAAAAAAAAAAAAAAAGACCCAGATATTTTAAAACTGCATTTACTTTCAGCACCTCATGAAACATCATTAAACCACAATAAAGGAATTCTTCTTCAAAAAGATATAAAACCACAATGATGAAGAAAGAGAACAGAGAAGGAACAGCAGCAATAAGAATTTTAGAAGTGAAAGTGGATGTGACACAGAAAAATTCTCAGTTGACCAAAGTCAAGAAGCAACCAGATTTACCGTCCCCACAGACTTAAGAATGGGGGCTCAATATCAGTGAAGGCTGTGTCAAACAAAATTGGAGAAGAGGTTAAAAGTCTATTTAAGGGCTCGGCGCCTGTGGCTCAAGCAGCTAAGGCGCCAGCCACATACATCTAAGGTGGCGGGTTTGAATCTAGCCCAGACCCGCCAAACAACAATAATGGCTGCAACCAAAAAATAGCCGGGTGTTGTGGCGGGCGCCTATGGTCCCAGCTACTTGGGAGGCGGAGGCAGGAGACTCACTTGAGCCCAGGAGTTAGAGGTTGCTGTGAGCAGTGAAGCCATAGCACTCTACCCAGGGGGATAGCTTGAGGCTTTGTCTCAAAAAACAAAAGTCTATTTAAGAAGGGCGTAGTTGGCTCGGCGCCTATAGCTCAACCGGCTAAGGGGCCAGCCACGTACACCTAAGGTGGCAGGTTTGAATCCCCAGCCCAGATCGCCAAACAACAATGACGGCTGCTACCAAAAAATAGCCGGGCGTTGTGGCGGGTGCCTGTGGTCCCAGCTACTTGGGAAGCGGAGGCAGGAGACTCGCTTGAGC